GCCCCCCCTGCCTCTGCCTCCTGAGTGTTGGGATTAAAGGCATGCGCCACCAATGCCTGGCTTCATTCAGTTTTTATGAGAAGAAAACAAAAGAAAGCCACGAATCCTAAGTTTCTGATGATTAGAAAGAGGATATATTTTGGAGAGTGAGGGATATTGTCCTACCTCTCATGTTTACTAAATAGTGAGATTATTCTTTGGAGGTGAAAACTATCAAAAGACCTTGCATTGCTGGGGAGTGATTAGACACAAGATACTGACTCACATCCTTTGGGTTGTTCACTACTAAAGCCAACCAACCATACAGAAGACCATGTGTTGGCGAGGTCTTGGAGAAATTGGTACATTGTTGGTAGTATTATAAAATGTGTAAGAATTTGGAAAATAGGGGCTGGAGAGATGGCTCAGGGGTTAAGAGCACTGACTGTTCTTCCAGAGGTTCTGAGTTCAATTCCCAGCAACCACGTGGTGGCTCACAACCATCTGTAATGTGATCTGGTGCCCTCTTCTGGCACACACTGTATGCATGATAAATAAATAAATAAATAAATAAATAAATAAGTAAAAAAGAATATGGAAAATAGTATGGCGCTTCCTCAAAAAGCTTAAGCATAGAACTACCATATGATTTAGCAATCTCACTTTTGGACACATATCTGAAAGAGCTGGAAGCAGAACACTAAAGAAATCCCAGCACACTCCTCTCCACTGAGGATTTATTCCCAGTAGACAAGAGATTAGGATGGAGACTATTCCCCACAGGCTCATGTGCTGGAATACTTGGTTGACAGCTGGTGGCAATGCTTTGCGGGAGGGATTGTGTAACCTTTGGGATGTGGGGTCTCACTGAAGGAAATAGTCACTGAGGAGAGGGTGCTGATTGCAAAAACACAACTTTCATCTCAAAGGGAACATGAGCTAATTTATTTTGGAGTAAAGTATGATTTAAACTGGGAACATAGACTTAGGTTACCCCAAATGCTATGTACTGACATGGCAATAGTTTCATGATCTTTTTGTAGTAAGAAAAGAAAATAAAGTCCTAAGTCTAGGCAATTTTCCAATACAGTGATGGGAATGTCAGCTAGGTGGTTATAGCACAGTGGGAAACCTCTGCTATAGGCCTCAGATGATGCCTGATGACATTCTTAGCTTTGGGTTGGTGGAAGCCAGGAGATTGTTAGTATATTCTGGAAAGATTTTACCTTAAAGTCATGGGCCATTAGGTCAAATACAGGTGGGTGGTGCCTGGCTCTCAAGAAGGATAAAGATACACTTGGAGCATTCCAGCTCACTATTATGGAAATTCTAACCAGTCAATCATCCCTGCAGAATCTTTAACATAGGTGCAGCTTTTTTCTCCCTTAGGAACTTCACTTCACAGGAACTTCAAATTTGGAGTTTGGTATTATTTCCTGGTCCATCAAGATGTAAACAAGCATCTCCATGCTTCTGCCGCCACACAAGAGTTGCCTGTAACAGGAAGATATCACTGCAGCTGCGCTTGCCATGATGTAATGTACCCTCAACCAGGAGGCAAAGCAAATTCTTCCTCCTCTGCGTTGCTTCTTGTCAGGTATGCCACACTGAGAAGTGAGGTCACTGATAGGATTGTCTGTCCATGGACATTAGGAAGAGGCCTATGGGAGGAATGGAAAAAGTTTGGCCCTGTAGGCTAGAGCAGGCCTAGAGTTCAATGGGCTGTTCTAATGGGAGATTAAAGGTTGAGACTATCAATAGGAATGTAGACAGTGAAGGCCAGGCTCATGACATTTCAGAAAGACTCTATCTAACAATAACCGGCGTAGAGGCCACTTGGCACAGAGTCTGGTTATCTTCAGCCCACATTCTGAAAATTTGAGTGAGACTGAATTTTAAAATAATAGACTAATTGGTTTAGTAAAGAAAATGTAACATGCGGGCTATGGAAGGTTATTGCTCACTGCATTTACTAAGGTTTATGATGAGTGAGGGCAAGAAGATATGGGAAATGTGTAATCTGGTGAGAAAAGAAAAGTTGTGACAGGAACTTGAAGTTTGATGAGGACCCAGAAGCCAGTTTAATTCAGGGCTGGTGCAGACAAAGTAAATGCAGTTGTTTAAAAGATTGGCAACATTCAGGATAAACCTCAGACTTTGCACAAGGACAGTAGGGAAGGTACTTTGAGGACAAGAACATACCCTGGGGAGGTTTCACTTGAAATGAGAGTGTGTCTAAAATGATAGTATCTCAAGGGTAGGCACCCTGAAGACAAATGGCTGCCTAACTGAGCAGCAGTCTCCTCAGTTCAGTCACAGAAAGGCAGTGGCAGTTTTTCAAGGGGTCCAGGCCACATCTTGAGCCAGCAGCAGAACTTGGCACCACCCGCCTGGTACTGATTCTGCAAGTGTGAGTGTACTGAAAATGCAAGAGTGAGGGAGCCATGAAAGCGTGCACCAAGGTTCCAGAACACCATGGAAGCCAGGCAATGTGTAGCAGGTTGTCATGAGCACGCTATGTCAGAAACAGAGGCAAACATGTTTATGTCTTTCTACAACATAAGACTTTATTGAACAATAATAAATTCACAAGCTACAGCACTTTCACTGGCAGCAATATGTCAGATATCCCCACTTTCCTTAATAACCCTGGCCAAAGGAACCAGGTGTTCTTTACTGCAATGTTAATGATTAACTCTCAGATGACACATTACACATATATGTAACATTTATCTGTATCTACCACTATCCCTCTATCTATCTATCTATCTATCTATCTATCTATCTATCTATCTATCTTACAGACTAGCTACCAAGAGTTAAGGTGGCAAAGGCCTGAGAAGCCAGAGTTGGGATGCAGTTAGAAATGCATGAGCCTGTGGAGGGTGAGATAAATGAGCTGGAGACAGGCGGATGCTCAAGTTACTGTTGCAGAATTTGGCTGCAAGGACAGGGTGAGCTGTAGAGTTGAGTTCAGCTGTAGAACCCAAATTCAGGACTAGGTCCAGATGAATGGGTGAGCAGATGCGTTGAACGGCAGGTCCAGACGGATCAATAGGAGGATGGCAGGTGGGCAATTTGAGTAATCTCTGACAGCAGCAGGGACCAAGCTGAACTGAAGCCCCTGGAACATTCAGGAATTCTCCACCTGTTGGTCAATCGATGCACATACCAAGTGGTTAGATGATAGGCTGGTGGGAGCCATCACCACCCCAGCGCTGGCATCCTCCTTATAGGGTGTGAATAAGGGGTCACATGTTTTGCGCAGACTGGCGTGTCTGATCAATTCTTGGGTTTGGTTTTCCTGATGTGATTTTAATTTGCCCATATGCTTCTATGGTCCCAGTCCACTAATCAATCTACAGAGAGGTCCTCTTCCATTCCCAGGGTTTGCAATTTGTCAGTTTGGATGGATAAGTGGCGCCAAACAGATGCTCTCGTCTATCCAGGTGCAGACTCACCCTACATCAGCAAACAGAGTCAAAAACTGCTTATCAAAAGAAGTCTCCCAAGGAAAGACACATTCTGAAAGCAACGACAATGACAAACAAAAGCCCCAACACACCCTTTTACACAATACAGAGTAACTTAGGCCTAGCCTTATCTCAACACTGGGCCATATTGTCTTCATGGAGTACCTGAGGCTGCTGTGTATGGAGCTGTAAAGGTAAAACCTATATTACAGTGGAGATGAGAAATACGGGAAGTTTGCCATGGGAAGATGCAGGCATTGGGTGGAAATGGCCAAAGGGAGACTGATGTTACAACTGATGTATGCAACAGGGCAGAGGCTATGCAAATCCATTGAGCACAGATGATGCCATTATCAGTCCCAGATGCCAAACATGGAGTTGCATGATTTTTTTTTTTTTTTTGTGTGTGTGTGTGTTTGGTTTGTCCTATTGGATTTCAGTCTTAATTTGGGGATTTTTTTTTTTTGTGTGTGTGTGTGTGTTTGGTTTGTCCTATTGGATTTCAGTCTTAATTTGGTGTGGTATTGCTGTGTCCCCGTCCCTTTTATAACGGGAATGTCTGCTGTGTGCCATTGTTTGCTGGAAAGAAGTAAATTCCCTTTTGATTTAACAGGGGCAGACAGATCAGGGGTCGCCTTGCAGAGTCTCAGAAGAGACTTTGGACTTTTGGATAATGTTTAAACTGTTAGGACTATGGGAAGTTTTAAAGTTGGGCGGATGACTATGGAGGCCTGGACAGGATGCTATTATTTGGTGGTAAAATATCTGCCAAAAGCTCATGCCAAAGACATTGAACACTGGATGTCTGGTCGATAGTGATAACGTGAGAGGCTATGAAACATTTGGGTGTTGGGACCTAACTGGAGGAAGTGAATCACTGGAGGATGAACCTTGGGGTTTATAGGCTGGCTCTACTTCCTGAGTCCCTCTGCTTCATGGACCAACAAGGTGTGAATGAACACCGTCATATTCCTGCCACCACAGCTGTGATTGGTTTCTACTGCTATTCCTTCCCTGCCATGATGGGATGTCCCCTCCAGCTGTGAGTCAGAATAACGCCTTCCTCCCTTAAGCTGCCTCTTGTAGGGTATTCTGTCATACAGAGAGAAAGTAATACCAGAGGGAGTTATTCAAATATCCACCACAGGGCTGGCAAAATAGCGCAGTCCATAGAGACACCTGCTGTAAAAACTTGATGACCTCTGTTCAGTCCTCGGAATCCACTTAAAGGCAGATGGCAAGAAATGCCTCCGTGATGCCTACAGGAACACTGTGGCATGTATGCCCCTCTCCAATCAAGACAGTTATCCACCACAGATGAATGGCTAAACAAAATGAGGTATGAGCATACAAGTAAACAGTGGAATACTGTGCAACCTTCAAAGGGAAGGAAATTCTCAGGTTGGGTATGGTAGCACACATCTTTATTGCCATGGTGATGGAGGCAGAGGTGGAGACGGAGGCAGCTCTGTGAGCTCCAGGCTGGCTTGGGCTGCATAGTGAGGACCTACTTGTCTTAAAAATGTCAGTTTCAGTCTTGAAATACTATACGGTCAAATTTGCTCTCTTGGTTCCAAAAGGCCCCTGTAATTGGTTGTTTCTCATGCAATCTTGTCCTTTAGCTTCCCCAGGTCAACTGAAGCATTCCTGGAAACGACGTCTAGAATGCATGTCTGAGCTAGCTATGGGATGGTTAGCCTGGACCGGCTACCAGACCCTGTTAAATGAGAAGTGAGACTACACAGATCTCCTCCAGCCCAGCCCACAGGGTACATCTCAGCCATTTCATTACACTGGCTGTGAGGCTTTAAACTTGTAGCCAACAGCAGAAGAGACCTTTTGCCGGCTTAAGGAGTCCTCCCATGCATGTGCCTGAGCACGGCCATTTGGTTTGCTGTTCTGTGCTACTCTTAGCTTTATGATGACCCCACTTGTATTCTTGGTGGGCTCTCATGTTATGCATGTTTGGTGGCAGAGCCATTGAGAGCATCCCTGCTCCCTCAAAGGGCTTCAGGGGTTCCTTCTACCTTACTGCAGGATTTTGATACCTAGTTGCTCAGCGTTTGGAGGGAACCACAGTGCTCTCTAGTGGTGGGGAAGTGCTGTAAGTCTTGGGAGGCATTCCAGAGATTTCGACTTCTTATATAGACTAGCCATGCCCAGAGAGTTGCAATTCCTACTTTCCTGTGACCATCTGAGGGACAAAGACGAGACTGGCCTACCACTGAGTGAGTAGTTGGAAGAAGGGAAGTAGGCAAGGTGATATGGTCAACCATTCTGTGCGCTCTGCCATCTCGGCTTTCAGCATCATTCTCGGCCTGTGGCATCATTCTTGGTGGTTTTGCTCTATCACCTAAACTGCTGGACTGCTTTCCTTCCTGGGTCCTTCTCCTCGTCCTTCAGACATAAAGAATGGAGTTCCTCAGGTTTGCATCCTTGGCCACAGTCTGTCCACATGATCAGAGTCACTCTCCAGCTGCAGGTTTCCCTTTGTGTCCTCAGCTTTAGGGTGTCTCATCTCTCTTCACCATTCAGGCATGTTCCAATGTTCAGCAATGTCTCCTCTGGGTCTCCGTAGGTGCACTTCAAACCCATCTGTTAAACTACAACCCATCTTCCTACTGCACCCTGCTCGCTCTTTGTGGCTTCCATTTTATATAACATGCTCCATATACCACAAACCTGGGGCTCCATACAGTTTCTATACTCTCTCTCATCTCCCAAACCATCCCATCCATCCCCAGTCCTAAGTTTATTTGAAAGGTTTTTTGTTTGTTTGTTTTGTTTTGTTTTGTTTTGTTTTCCCGTGCTCCAGCAAGGTCCATAAAATACACCAAATAGGTGTATTAGTATGTTTGTCACTTTTTTTCCTTTAAAAAAATGGCCATACACGAGGCTGTACTGAAAGCTGCCATTTGGTGTCAGGAAGGGTCTGTAAAGCTGCCCTGGTCCTGGAAACACGGACCCAGTTTTCTTCTCAATGCAGAGGCTCATGAGCATTTCCTCATTACTGTCAAGAAAGTGCTGACCTCCCTCCCTGGAAGAACAAGGAAGCAAAGGAAACAAATGGCTAAAAACTCTTAGATCCCTGTGATGATTAATGCTGCCAACCTGACAGGCTCTGCAGTCACCTAGGAGACAAGCCTTGTGGAACCTGTGAGGGCTTATTTACCTCCGGGCATGCCTGTGAGGGTTAATGTTGATTAGCTTAAAGAGGAGGACCTAACCTAAAGGCAGAAGCGCTATTCTCTGGGCTGGAGTCCTGTCCTGTATGGAGAGAGAAAGGCTGGACTGGAGCTGATCTTCTTGCTTCCACCTTCCATGCTCTGGGGTTCCAGTCATGTGCCAGCATTTGTCTAATTACAGAGGCTACCAGGTGGGAGCTCCTAGGTGCTCGGAGTTCCCACCTGAACAAACCAGAGCCTAATGCCAACAGCAAACCAAAGGAGATATTTTAGCTGTCTAAGGCCACCGCCTAGTCTCTCACTTAGGACTTTCTACCCTGACCTACCGGATGTGTTTCTCAATTTCACTCTCACCTCTGCCTGTTGTCACCATGTCCTCATGCACCTTCAGGGAGTTCACTTGAATTCTTTGATCAAAAATATTGGTTTAAATCATCCTGTTTAAAATGATTCTCTTGAAGTATCTACCTCTTTTCTCCATACCTATTTTTATGGATCTATGCATCATCTCCTAGGAGAATAAGATATGTCATCAAACTACAACTGTTTGACCCAAAGCAAGTTCCCCTCTCTGGCTCTTGGTCCCCAGAGAGGTTTTTCGGACTCATACAAGGAGGCAGGTTTCAGCTGGATGTGGTGGTACAGGCCTTTAATCCCAGCACTCAGGAGGTGGGGACAGAGGCATTTGGATCTCTGCCAGTTTGAGGCCAGCCTGGTCTACACAGTGAGACTGTGTCTCAATAAATTAAAATAAACAAATAAATAAATAAAACAGAGGTAGGTTCCAGTGACATTGGGCTTTAAAGTAGTACTGACTAGGTCAAATAATGATTTCCCTCTAAGAAATCCAGTAGAGGAAATGTTCCAGTGGTTCAGAGTTCTAAAGAGCCAGATAATGATGCAACTTACAAATGATATAAAAGAGTCTTCAATTCTCAGTGGGCTATGAATCCCAGTGGCCAGTGATAAGTGAGGGAGAGAGAGAGGAAAAGAGGGAGGGAGGGACAAAGGGAAAGAGAGAGAGAGGAAGGGAGAGATATTTGAGAGATTTTGTATTATGGTATTGATTATGGGAGTCAAGGGTGTAATGTCATGATGAGCTTGGTGTCAGTTTGACAAGGGACAGACTTATAATGGTTAATCTTCATTATCACCTGGACTGGATTTGAAATCATCTAGTAGACAGGCCTCTGGGCATATCTGTGGGGGTTGTTTCCAGAAAGATTTAAGTGAGGAGAGAAGACCCTGGACATGGGTAGCACCATTCCATGGGTGATGCACTGAACTTCGTAAAATGAAGAAAATAGAGAATGCCAGCCTTCTTTTCTTCATCTCCCGATTCTTGCTACAGCAACAGGAAACATTACAGTTTAAGAGATACAGTTTCAGGCTGGAGAGATGGCTCAGAGGTTAAGAGCACTGTCTGCTTTTCCTGAGTTCAATTCCTAGCAACCACATGGTGGCTCACAATCACCTGTAATGAGATCTGGTGCCCTCTTCTGGCCTGCAGGCAGACATGCCGACAGAACACTGTATACATAATAAATAAATAAACATTTTTAAAAAAGAGATACAGTTGCATATCTCGTAAAATGACATACAGTTTCATATACACCCTATGCTCAACACCTACTTATCTTGGCATATGATTTGTGGGTGAAGTTCTTCAAAGCATGATGGCATAGTGTCAACAGCATCTGGCTACTGCTCTCATCCCATCTACAGTCAGGAAGCAGAGATGAATGCATTTTTCATCAGAAGATAGAAAATGGCTGTGAGTCTACTGTCACCTGAGTGCTGTGTGGAAATGTTTGCACCATCAGATTCCATTAAAGTTAGAAAATAGTAAAGTCAAGGGGAAAATAAATCCAAGTTTGAGTTTAAGATTACTACGGGATGCTTTTATGTATTCCATAATCATACTTGTGTTTTCAATTTTGATGCCTTAAAATAACTTAATCTGCCAGGTGCTGGTGCACACATTTAATTCCAGTACTTGGGAGGCAGAGGCAGGGGGATCTCTGTGAGTTTGAGGTTAGCCTGGTCTACAAAGTGAATTTCAGGGCAGCCAAAGCTACAACAGAGAAGCCCTGTCTTGAAAAAACCAAACTGAACCAAACCAAACCAACCAACCCAAAACAAAACAAAACAAAACAAAACAAAACACAACCAAAGCACTCTATCCATCACTCAGTTGAAACTTTGAGGTCTATTTTAACTGTACTTTGTTATCCTCAGCTCAAAGGAGTCAACATTCAAGGGAAAGCCTAGCATTATGTTCAACAGAGTAACAGGAAAGGGACAAAGAAAAGAAAAAGGAAAACTAGTAGTAGGAGTGGGAGATGGAGATTGATTTTAATTATGACCAGCCAATTGAGATACCAAAAATAAGATGCTGTACACATAAAATCAGTTATATGAGCCAGGTATTGGTGGCACACACCTTTAATCCCAGCACCAGGGTGGTAGAGGCAGGTGGATCTCTGTGAGTTTGAGTCCAGCCTGGTCTACAGAGCAAGTTCCAGCACAGGCTTCAAAGCCACAGAGAACTTTGTCTTGAAAAACAACAAAAAAAGCAAACAACAACAACAACAACAACAACAAAAATCAGTTACTGGATGAGAACTTTTGTGAAGTTGTAGCACACTCACCTTGTTGGTCTTGTAAGCTCTTGAAAGGTTGGGTAGAAATTTTTTCTGAAAGATAAAAGATCTAAGTGTGTGGTTAATCTGATCTGTGGTGTGAGTTTGGTCTTTCTAGCCTCCTCTGAAAGGTTTCTGCAGGATGTTCCACCATGTCTTGCAGACTCTGACCAATAAAATTGAGAAAGGACCCTCTCCCTTTCTCTGGTGCATCTTTCCTAAGTCCTGATGTAACAGGGTCCCCAGACCTTAGTACAACTGACTCCATGATGGAAGTAATAGTTAGGTCATAAACTGCGTGTAGACAGTACTACCAGCCAAAATGAAAACAAGGATTTAATCCATCAAAGCCCATCATTCTAGGGAATCTCTAAATGGACTAACCTTGCTTTTGACTTTTGCAGTTCTGCTTCTGACTAACTGGTCTTATTAACTGAAGTATATCAACCAAGGACATGTTTTTGTGCTTAAAAGCTCACCCTGGGAAAGGCTTCATGCTACACTGGGATCCCAAACACCCAATGTAGTTGCCAGCTGGCTAATAAAGACTTCCTATTGGCTTAAACCCATGTCCTGAGAAGTCTTCTCTGGTGGCTGTGTCACAACACTGAGTTTTCCCTCACAATCTCTCTGTTCCCACCTGAGGCATTCCAGCTTGATTTTCCATACTAGAACTAGACTGTCAGCACATACTTGCTGCATGCTTACTTGATGTCAGATACTCTGGTTAACGGACTATACAAAGATAGCCAAGATAGCAAATCCTAGGAAGCGTGGATAGAGAAGAAAGCTGTTTGCCTACTTGTTCTCGAATTTGCTGGTAAGTTCATCTATTCTGTTTCCTTCACTCGTATTAGAACTGCTTCTTCAGGATTCCAACATAGACTGAAGACCTGAAGCTTTCTTGAACTCCTCCAGGATTCCAGCAACAGAATGGGACTGCTGAGATACCCATGGATTAAGCAACTACCAGATACTTGACTTTTCAGTTGGGAGACAGACAGTGTTGGAATACCTGGACCACAGCCTCTAAGCCATGCTAATAAATCATATATACATATATATATATCACATTTAATATATTATGTCATATAGTGTACAATTATGCATAATATATAATAACAACTATATATCTGCTAAATCATACACACTCATAAATACATACATATATACACAGACATATGTATTATTATATATGCACACCTACAAAGTGAGACAGAAGAAGTATTCTGTTCCTGTTTCCAGAAAATGCAGAAATGAAATTGCTGATTTTGACACTGAGTTGCTAGATGAATATGTATATTCATCTATCAGTTGAATATATACGCTCATCTACCAGTTCTATTCCTTTAGCGAACCCTGACTAATACAGATTGCTTGTCTAAATTCTGGATTTGAGTTGACCAGGATAAAATTAAAGTCCTGCACAAACAACCTGGACGGATGTGTTACACCTCATGCCCTATGTCCACACAGCTACTTTAGTCGTGGCTTGTTTTGGATGCCTTCTTTCTATGAACTGTGCCCATTTTTTTGAGAGCCAACTCTTCCTTTGGCTTCAGTGCTGAAAGTTCTCTGCAAGCACTCCAGTCCGAATGGCCATTGCCGCCTTGGGGTCCTGCATCTACTCTTTGTTAACATGGGTGTGCTGCCTGGTACTGAGACTGTGAATGTGGGGTGAGAAAACTTTATGCCAGCATCAGGGGTTTCCCCCATAACTCAGCAATGATGGGTCCAGTAAAGAGTGAAACAAGAGAGGAAGGGCCCCCACCCTGGCCCTGCACTGTAATACCTGCATCAGGAACTTCAGGCTTCTGTCGTAGCATCGCAGACTCAATCGCCAGTTCCTTGATTTTTCATAGCCTCCCAAGCTTTCAAATTCAGAGGGGGTGAACCATTCCCCATTCTCACTCTGTATGGACCTCATGGAGATACCTGTAAGACCACAGTAGGCTGATTGTGAGTCCGAGTTGTCCCTAGAGCTCAGACTCGTGGCCTCCCACCACGCTAGAGCTGGGGCCACCCAAACTGTGCTCAAAGCCAATAGCAGAAGAGTCCGGTCTCCTCTCTGGCTTCAGGAGTCCCAGCTCAGCCCTGGAGTTCCCTAAAGCGCTTTGCTGAAGTCATGCGTGTTTATTTGATTTTTATGCATGAAGAAAATGGCCATCGCCACCAACTGAAACCTTTCAAAACTACTTCAGGGTCACCTAGCTAGTGACTGACTGCACAGGGTGAGTGGATTTCAACCTGATGTTGACTCTCAGGCCGGAGAACAACCAGAATCCCAGGAGGCCCCAGGCAAGGTGGAGGTGGGGTCCTGAGCTTAGAGCTGAGGCTGCAGCTGGCTTCTGCAACTGGGGATTCCTGTGACGTCATTGTCTACCCAAGTGAATGAGACTGTTGAACCGGAGCTTGCCCATCCCTGCAGTCATAGGTTGAAACCATTAAACATGAACGAAACATATCCAGTGTAAATATAGATTATATTAAAAAAGTAATCACATGTTCAACATCTCCATTATTGTGAAAATTCAAAACAAAATCACAACAACACTGTTTCATCCAACCATGATGACCATGATAATAAAACATCAAGAAATAACAGCTACTGATGTAGAGAAGTTGGAGGCCTCCTGCATTGCTAATGGGAACATAAAACAGTGAAGCCAGCACCAAAAACATTTTGGTGGTTCCCTACTGAGTTCAACATAAATTTCCATACGACCAAGCAATTCCACTTCTGTGTGTGCGCACCTCAAACTAAGTGTGTGTATTCGTACTTATGTTGTACACACATTCTCAAAAAAGCCTTATTTACTATACCCAAAGGTAGAAATGATCCAAACTTATGAATGAATAAAGAAAATGTGATATAGCCAGTATTGGCTGGTTTTAAGTCAACTTGACACAAGCTAGAGTCTTCAGAGGGGAAGGGGCCTCAATTGAGGAAATGTCTTCATGAGATCAAGCTGTAAGGCTTTTTCTTAATTGGTGATCAATGTGGGAGGTCCCATTGTGGGTGGGGCCATCTCTGGCCTGGTGGTTCTGTGTTGTATAAGAAAGCAAACCATGGGAAGCACGTCAGTAAGCAGCTCCCCTCCGTGGTCCCTGAACCAGCTCCTGTCTCCAAGTTCCTGCCCTGCTTGAGTTCCTTGTTCTGTCTTCCATTGTGATGAGCATCAGTGTGAAAGTGTAAGTATCAAAGGGAGAAAAGGTGCTCTCATGATAAGTGTTTCTGATGCACCGAAGAAGAAAACCACATTCGTCTGTAGACTCTAAGTGGTGAACTCTATGGCTTTTTGTTGTTGTTGTTGTTGTTGTTTTTTCTAGACAGTGTTTCTCTGCATAGCCTTGGCTGTCCTGGAACTCACTCTGTAGACCAGGCTGGCTTTGAACTCAGAGATCCATCTGCCTCTGCCTCCCAAGTGCTGGGATTAAAGGTGTGTGCCACCACTGCCCTGTGTATGATATATGAATTGTAACTAGTAAGCTGTTAAAAAATAATCACCATGCAATCATTTCTCTTAACTATCATCCACAGGCTCATATTAAGAGAGATCTGAATACCAGGCAGTGGTGCTGCACACCTTTAATCCCAGCACTCAGGAGGCTAAGGCAAGTGGATCTCTGTGAGTTCAAGGCCAGGCTGATCTACAAAGTGAGTTCTAGGACAGCTAGGGTTGCTATATAGAGAAACCCTGTCTTGAAAAACCAAAACAAGCCAGGTGGTGATGGCACACACCTTTAATCCCAGTATCTGGGAGGCAGAGGCAAGAGGATATCTGTAAGTTTGAGACCAGCCTGATCTACAAGAGCTAGTTCCAGGATAGGCTCCAAAGCTACACAGAGAAACCCAGGCTCAAAAACAAAAATAAAAACAAAAAACCTAAAAAAAGACCCCAAACAAACTAAATAAATAATAGAGATCTGAGACAAAATTCATCAAAGTAGGCAGTTCTTTTGCAAGTTTAGAACCTGTGATTACCAAATATGTTATATTAATGATATGAGTTAATTTTCAAATATACACCATTATTGTCCTATTTATTTATTTATTTACAGTTCTTACTTAGTTTTTATTTCATAATCATAAACTTAACTCCGCAATCCAGCTAGAGTTGGAGGGGAATGAGGAAAATATGGAACCCAAAGAATTTCAGTGAGAGCAGAGATGACAGGGCATTGCGAGCAGATGGGGTGGGGATGCTCTCCTGAGCTACAGAAGACATGGTCTGGTAGGTAAGAAGCCGGCAAGTCAAAAGAATTAGAGTTGCCCACAGTTGGAAATGGTGATCTTCTTGCTGGTCTTGCCAGTCCTGGACCCGAAACGCTCCATGGCTTCCACAGTGCTCATGCCTTCTTTCACCTTCCCAAAGACCACATGTTTGCCATCCAGCCACTCAGTCTTGGCAGTGCAGATAAAAAACTGGGAACCATTTGTGTTTGGTCCAGCATTTGCCATGGACAAGATGCCAGGACCTGTATGCTTCAGGATGAAGTTCTCATCCTCAAATTTCTCTCCATAGATGGACCTGCCGCCAGTGCCATTATGGCGTGTGAAGTCACCACCCTGGCACATGAATCCTGGGATAATTCTGTGAAAGGAGGAACCCTTATATCCAAATCCTTTCTCTCCAGTGCTCAGAGCACGAAAGTTTTCTGCTGTCTTTGGAAGTTTGTCTGCAAATAGCTCGAAGGAGACGCGGCCCAAGGGCTGGCCATTGGCCGTGATGTCGAAGAACACAGTGGGGTTGACCATGGCTGCAGGAACAGGCGACGGGGGACAGCGGCATCTGCAAAGCCCTATTTATTTTTGAGGCAAGGTCTCATTATGTAGCTCTAACAGTTCTGAAACTCATTATGTAGACCAGACTGGCCTCGAACTCACAAAGAGCTACCTCTATCTGCCTTCCAAGTGCTGGGATTAAGGGCCACCACACTCGGCTTATTATTATCTTTTTTAAATGAGAAAATTCAGGCTCAGAAAGCCCCACCCTCTACCCCCTGCAGAATATAGATCATCACAGCTGGCTTGGCAAAGCTGAGTCTGGGACTCGGGTTCTCTGATTATCAATCCTGTGATGGTCTCACTACCACAAGTGCCCTCCCCTGGTGCTAATGACCCAGGGATGTGAAGGCAGAGGCTGACTGGAAGGAAAATATACAATAGTTTCCATCTCTGGATGGAAGTCTCTCTGGTTCCCTGGTCATCTCATGGCTATACCCATGTTGATGTGAGAATCTATTAGGTATGGTTTCTTCAAGTCCAAAAAATAGCATGTTAGGATCCCTTCCTGTTTTCAAGCCTCACACCTCCAATTTCTTAAGTCATCCACTCCACCTTACTATTCCTTTCTGTAGCAGTTGCAAATTAAAGACCATGAAACCCACCTAGCTTGAATTTATCCTTGTGTAACACTCCCTTCGTGCGCCCACACGTCACAGGAAGCAACTCAGCCTTGAATCGCACAGCTTCATTCCTGCTCAGTCTTCGAGCTGAAAGAGAAGATTTCTTTGTCTCACTTTGCAGGTGTGCAGACCTCCCTGGGCCATTCTTCTAAAGGCAGAATGGCACTTGGGCAATTCTGATCTACACACCTCTAGTCTTTGTAGCCTTTTCTTAAAGGAGATCATTAGATATGTAATGACAGGCAGTCCACCTCGGTCAAATTTAGAAAAAAAAAATCTAGGGTGTTCCAGTAGAGAAATTTGAGCTCAATAAAGCTCATGAAATATACAAGGTGCTGCAGTGGTTCTGATAGTCACTTAGTAGCCATGTCATTTCACTGCAGATGGTAACCAGTCACAAGTCCCTTTGAGCACTGACTGGGCAAGCAGGGAGAAGAGATGGGTGTGCCTGATAGTTTTATGTTAACTTGACACAGCTGAAGTCATCTGACAGGAGGGATTGGGTTGTAGGCAAGGATGGGTTATAGACAAGCCTGTGGGGCATTTTCTTAATTAGTGATTGTTGGGGGAGGGTTCAACCTATTGTGGGTGGTGTTATTGCTGGGCTGGTTGTCCTGGGTTCTATGAGAAAGCAGGCTGAGCGATCCATGGGGAACAAGCCAGTTAGCAGTACCCCTCCATGGCCTCTGCATCAGCTCCTGCTTCCAGGTCCCTGCCCTGTTCGAGTTCATCTTCGATGAACAGTGATGTGGAAGTGTAAGCCAAATAAATCCTTTCCTGCCTAGTTGCTCTTTGGTCACAGTGTCTTATTGCAGCAATAGAAACCCTAAGATAAAGGACAACCTAGCAGACTTGGGTAGAGATCATCTCTACTTTCTTTTTGTTGGCTTTGCTTCATGTCTCCCTCACAATAGCATCTGAAAGACCCCTGTCCCTTAGCCCTTTCTTTCTCAAGTTTGTCTCCTCTTCCTCCTGTCGGCGGCTTCCCCGATCCCCACCCCCGGTGGCCTTTCCCCGCCCGGCCCGAGAACAAGCACCCTGATAACTTTATGTGGAGTGGAGTTTCAGCTCCACAGAGGTAGATATGAAAATTCCTCAAACAAATTTCTGGTAGATTAGAAGTTAAATTTCCTCTGCCTCTCATCAATGCAGGTGGGAGGGGGGTGGGGCGCTGTCCGTGGTGCTGAGACTAAGTTTTTGAGGTAACTGCTCAAGATACAATGAACTGAGGATGGTTAACATAAGTCATCCTCCTCTTTAGAAATGAAGAAACTGAGGTAAGAGTCAAGGAATAGGCCAAGTCTGTGTAGTCATAGAAGAGAAGGCTTGGACCCAGGTCTTTGCCCAACACTCTGACTTATTCCTACAGTCACCTCTCTTCCATTCCAGCTCTGGTGACAGGCTCAGTCAGTCCAGCAAATATAGAAAAACACAGAGTTCTTTTCTCCTATAACTCTGTGAAGTAATTCTTTTCTGGGTCTGGAGGGTCTGCTGAATTACCTTTCATTGAACATGTTTAGGCCTCACATTTTGAAGAGGAAAAGGAAACACACTGACGTCTCCTCTAGCCTACTGAGGTGTAGGTATAGGGAGATTTAGAGTTTAGATCAAGCTAATTCACAATACAGTCCCACTGTATTGTGTTTTCAAATGAAATAGCTGAGCAAGGTAAGATTCGATTTTTGTTGCATCCAAAGAACATTTTGCCCATATAATAACATGAACTCCATCACAAAACCCATAAGTACAATCATGGTCAAAATATGGTTTAAAGTTTAAAATAATTGTTATGGTCAGTCTTAAACTTTAGAAGTGTAACTGATTTGTAAATACACTGCTGTTTATTCAAGATTATAAGAAAAGGCTCAATTGTTGGGATCCAGTTAGTAAATGCCAAATAAGGTCAATTTCCTCACAACTAAGGACATAGTTCCTATGGGGGGGAAAAACTGGAAAGGCTCAGACAACTATATTGAGTTTGTCCCTTGAGGATCAAGGATACACATCCTAAGGCAAAGTGCCAAACCACCTTTGTGACCACAGAACACATTAGTGGGAATGGATCAGGCTATCACTGGCCCCTTATAACAGGTCCCAAAAGAAAAGCTGCATTTATTCTAATGAGGACAACATGGTGTCTGGCCTCTCCTCTTCCCTACTGTGGAAGTGATGGAAGAATTTCTTGGGAGCATCTAATTCCAGCATCATCCACAGCTAAGCCCATCAAACACAATACCTACACAAGCACCCAGTCATCGTGGTTCTCTTCAAGCTCTCCAACACGGATGGGCCCACACCAGCTGCTGTTGAACAGAGGCAGAGCTCCAGGAGAACACTAAACATAGGGTTGTTACAGCCCTGCTTTCCATGTCCTATTCTAGGGCTTGGCCCAGGCTGAGAGAGGGGTAGTGCTTTAGATTGGAGAAAGCAGGAAGGTTTATTCCTTTGCTCTTTCAGACAAGGTCTCAGTGTCTCAAATAGGGAGCATCAGGTCAGAAAGGGCACTCAGCTTCTGGTGTGGATGCTGTTGCTGCTAAAATGGAATTAGAAAGCTTCAGGCCTGCTCAAGACAAGAAAGAGCTCACTGGAAGGAGGAGGAAAAGGACCATGAGAGTGGATTTGCTTTCTGCTCACAATTCACCCAATTTAGACATTTTAATAACCAATGTGTCAGAGAAAAGCATTTCCATAAAACCAGGTTCAACTCAAAGGGAAGGAAGAAATTAGGACAGATAAGATTGATGATATAAATACAGTTCATGACCTTGCTCCAAACAGCTTGCTTTTAGGTTTTGCTGCTCTCAAATTGACAAGTAAGCTTGAGTAGATTTTTTTAAGGCTTTAGATTCCCCCAAATATTAGCAAAATCTGTGTGCACTCAGGGGCGAATGGAAAGATGTACAGAAGTCACCTTACTTACTTACCCCTACGCCTGACAGTCCTGACAGAGCCTTCTGGATTGCTTTTCCTTTGCCTTCTCCTGACAGCTGCCTGGCCACCAGCTCCTCTGTAATCTAGGAGAGACACAGGCAAATGCAGAGTTGAGGCAAACTACAGCTGAGAATGGGTAGGAGCAAGGGAGGCATCCTGGTTACATCAGGGTATTTTCTCCACACACTGTGGTGAGAGCTCAGACAAGGAGCCAATTCCAACCAACCAGGCAGGAGTCAGAGTTAATGCCTGTGCAAGATTCTGTTGTATTAACACTTTAGAAAGAAATATGTCTACACACAGAGACTTGAATGAAAATGTTTTCAAAATATGCATTCAAAAAATGGACACAACCACCATTTTTCCTTTCTAAACAAAAATGTACATATCAATTAACAACACATCTGGGTCACTGTCATTAGTGTAAGATTCTTAGTTTGGTGAAATTAATATTGAGTGGAATTCCAAAGCATACTCCATGGATCTGGTGTAAAAGTGATAATCATTTGGAAAATGATGTTTAGCTTTTGTCTAGGAGAAAGGAATCCCTTAGACCATTACTAAAACCATATGGCAAGGGGGCTATTTGTAAATATATACACTCTATATGAATAAGATTGTATGAAGCATCACAGTGTAGATATATTTGCCATTAAAAATTATTCAAAATATATTCTAGGATTGGTCTCTCTGTCTCCTAACTATTCCAAAATACGTGCCACTTTTTACTGCTCTCAGAACAAATTATCAAAAGTTCCATAGCTCTCTTAGGGTCACTATTGCTGTGATGAAACATCATGAGCAGAGAAACTTGGGGAGGGAAGGGTTTCTTTGGCTTACAATACCATATCACCGTTCATCACAGAGCAAGTCAGGATAGGAAGCTAAGCAGGTTCCTATAGAGCTCAGAAGTATCAGTCTAGGGACGTCACCATCCACAATGGGCTGCACTCTCTCCCGTAAGTCACTATGAACACAATACCTTACAGCTGGATATTTTTGAGGCATTTTCTCAATTGAGATTCCTTCCTTTCAGATAACTCTAACTGGTGTCAAGTTAACACAAGACTAGTCAGCACAGTAACTTCAAACCACACAAGTTTAGCAACTATGTCAGATGTCTAATGTGGGTCTCACCAGGCTGAAGTCCAGGTACCCACAGCCCTTCATCTGTTCCTAGAGGAGAACCAACTTCTTGCCTTATCCGGGTTCTCATGGTCACCCATGTTCCTTGGTCCCTTCCTGCATCCTCAGACTCACTGGTATTGCATCCTTCTGACTATTCCTCCACAGTCACTTCCTCTCTCTGCATCTAAGAAAGGTTCCCCACTTTTTCAGACTCATAAAATCTGAGTGGTCGGCCAGGCATTGGTGGCGAAGGCCTTTAATCCCAGTACTCCCGAGGAAGAGGCAGGCGGATCTCTGTGAGTTTGAGGTCAGCCTGAGCGAGTGCCAGGATAGGCTCCAAAGCTACACAGAGAAACCCTGTCTGGAAAAGCCAAAAAAAAAAAAAAAAAAAAAACTGAGTGGTCACCTCTATACCAACAGTCAAAGACAACCCCCCCTCGCCATCAAGGTCCCTATCTTAAGGTCCCATATGTGTAGAATGTCTTTGTCATTAAGATAACAGGTTCCAAGGGCAAGGAGGAACTCAGGGGAGGTCACCACAGTCTACCCCATTGTCACAGTCAATAACAATAATAATTCTAGCAGTAGATAACTTATCAGTAACACTGAAAGCACATAAACTCTCCTCCATTTCCTTACTTGTCTTCTCCTGGGATTTTCCTACAGTAGTGTTGTTTCTAGTCTCCACGGTATCTAGAAAACAATAAATGGCAATGAGGGTTTAAGTAATCAAGAGAAATTACAAATCTTAGGACTGATCATGCTACAAAGGCCTTGCTTACATCAGTGTTTGGACTGTCATTGGCCAGAAAAAGGTAAAGATTTACAGTAAAGACAGATTCAGATGAAGAAAAACCTCTAAAGGTTAACAGTGTGTTTAAAAATATACGTAGGCTTGTGAGAGACAAAGAAACAGGATAAAGTGTTTTAAAAAAAGAAGAAGAAATAGAGAAACTGGGTGTGGTGGCATATGCCTTTAATCCCAGCACTTGGGAGGCAGAGGCAAACAGATCTGTGACTTCAAGGCCAGCCTGGTATACAGAGTGAATTCAAGAGCAGCCAAAGTTATACAGAGAAACCCTATCTCATAAAAGTGAAAAATAAAAGTAAAAGAAATAGAATAATGAAAAGGCCATGTAAAGATGGAAAGTAAACAGAGAGACTGGATACTATATGCTATATTGTTGTCTTTAAATTGTTTGATTGCTGAGAGAAGAGTTACAGCTGCTAAAATACATTTGATTATAGGTGCTGCTAAATTAATCCAACTTATGCATTTTAAAAATGCTTTGACTTCAAAATTTAAGTCTAAGGACAGGCTACTTGGAAAAAGAATTTCTGCTTTTGTTTACACAGAAAATGAAAAGCTGTGGATTCCTTCCAGACTAATATGGTTTGATCAAGCAAGACCCCCTGAAGCAGTGGCCCAACTGAGCCTACATCCAAAACAGCTGAGATGATGCAGTCATAGACCACTACAGCCAGGATTTCTGGGTTTTATCATGATCCCCATGGTATGGACATCGCCCCTAACCAACGGGAAGCAGTTTGGAATGAATGATACCCAAATTCCCAAATATTGTATATAAATGTTTGTTTTCATTTAAATGGGGTTAGTTATAAATGGTAATGATCACAGTCAATCTCTTTTTTAAAGGAAAAAAGGGAAATAGGATATAGAAATGAATACTTTGCATTGGTATGGATTTTCATTTATGGATACAACATTAAGGTCAATTTTGTGATATGTGAATTTCTCCTCTTGTTTGGTATTGTGTTTATACAGGTCTTTTAAAATGTAATGTGTAATTAAATACAGATTGTATAGTCACCTATAATAGTCAGAATTTATAATTAGGTTAGTTCGGTTTTCTAGATATACAGAGATATATTTAAGATGTATAGATATTATTCAAACCTTTCAAAGACCTACAGAATATATGGCATTTAAATGGTTTAAGGTTTTTCATGGCAGTGAGACACAACTTCTCCTGGCACACCAATTACGTCTGAGAGGAAGATGGGCATAAAAGAAACTCATTATGGAGTTTGCTTTCAACATGGCAAGATTAGCCATTTGGGCAAGAAACTGCTCTTGCCTGGACTGGTTGTTACTGTATAAACTGGACATGCAGGACCCACAGGAAAATGACTGCTGAACTTGCAAAACAAGACAGTTCTGAAGGGTTCCTGCTGTAATGGAGAAGTTTGCCAGACACGCTGTGGCCTACAGGCTGAAGATGGGTGCCCCAATGTTACAGAGGAACTGTGGGTGACTGTCCAGGCAGTGAGATAGATGTCTCTGTCAATTGTAGTGTTTATATCTTATCCTTTTGTGGTCTTTGATGGAGTTGAAGACAGATAGTTATGGTTATAGTTTAATTTAGTTATTATAAATGATAAGCTATGTATAAGACTTTAGACTCTCAAAGATAAGATAGATGATAGAATATTTCCTTTAAATCTTGATAAATGTTAATGAACTAAATATCGTAACTATAGTTCTTACTTGATAACTGTTTTGTTATATATTTTACTATGGTAATGTTAAAATCCTTCTTTTATTTTAGACAGAAAAGAGGAGATGATGGGGGAGGTCCTTCTGTGTATATGTTTGTCTTATTGGTCGATAAATAAAGTACTATTGGCCAATAGGGAAGCAAGTTAGGTGGGGCTAGGAGTCAAGGAGGATTCTGGGAAATGTAATAAAGAGAAGTCTTGTGATCCAGGCAGGAAGTGACATAGCAGGCCGACTCAGAATATAAGCAGGGACAAGCAGGAAATTGCTCTCTTCCTCCTACTCTCTTCTCTGTGGAGGCACAATGTGATCCTGGCAAGAAAAGACGCCTGCCACCAGCGTCTCCAATACAATGAGTCTTTATAAAATATATACATTAATACTTATGGTTGATAATTAAGACTGAGCTAGCAAGTAAGAAAACCTAGTCATTGACCAGCAGCATTGTACCTAATATAAGTCTCTGTGTGTTAATTGGGGCCCTAACATGGTAGCAGGTGGAACTCGGGTAGCTGGCAGAAAGAGTTATTGCCACATCAGGGGAGGTCACCACAGTCTACCCCATTGTCACAGTCAATAACAATAATGATTATAGCAGCAGATAACTTATCAGAAACACTGAAAGCACAAACTCTCATCCATTTCCTTACCTCTCTTCTCCTGGGATTTTCCTAGAGTAGTGTTGTTTCCAGTCTCCATGGTATCTAGAAAACAATAAATGGCAATGAGGGTTGAAATAATCAAGAGAAATTACAAATCTTAGGACCGATCATGCTACAAAGGCCTTGCTTACGTCAGTGTTTGGATTGTCATTCATTTCCTCCTAGAAGTACCCAAGGTTGCCAGACTGAGAACTAGGAATCCAGGGAAGGCACTGGGCATTTTTGGCCCCACTCCCAATGAAATATTTTAAATCTTAGCACATTTTTTTGCATAGATAAAATATGAATTTTAGCTAGGTAGTGGTGGTGCCTGCCTTTAATCTCGGTACTTGGGAGGCAGAAGCAGGCAGATCTCTATGAGTTCAAGACCAGTCCTGGTCTACAGAGTGAGTTCCAGAACAGGCTCCAAAGCTGCAGAGAAACCCTGTCCCAAAAACTAAACAAACAAACAAATCCCAGATTTTCTAAGAAATTTTCTGGGTAAGACCTAATTAATTATTTGACACACTTTAGTACTCTGATTGGAAATACACCTGAGGTTGAGAATAATTGGCCTGAACTCTTTCCATGTTTCTGAAATCTAGCCAGTCAGAAGCAGTGATACAAGTTTGAAATCCAGTCAATCGGCAGCAACCACCCTCCAAATGCTTGTCTACACGCAAAGTCTACAGCTGCTCTTCATAGATCCAGGTGAAACAAGCTGTGGCCTTTTTTTCTAGGATCCATGTGCTTTGAGCACAATGTCTCCCCCCACACCCACCAGGGCATCCTCTTAGCAAGCTTTCAGCTTCAGACTTGGGGGTGATGTTCTCTAGCTCCCTGGTATGGTACTCCCACCAAGATCATCTTAAGACTTGCTGGGAGTGTCCTGATGATGAGAATTTCAGACCACTTGGGTTCAGACAGTATTCCTCATCCACTGCTAAGTGACTCAGTCTCCACCTCACACTTGCTCTGCTGGGTTTTTATTTCTGAGTTTATTTTATTTAAAGATACATGTTTAATTAGATTTAAAGAAATTGTGATTCTGATTTGCAAGTACAGCATTAGGCCAACATTCTCTCCACTGATTCTCACATTCTTCCTGAACATTAGACAATAATGACTCCTCCCCCCAAATAGATGGAAACAAAGGTCTAACAAGTCACCCAAGCTAAGCCAGCCTCAAAAGCTAATGAAGAGTGCATCCACCAGTGCGGTGGCCAAACCATGCAAAGATTCTTGGTCCTACTCTGTCTTTCCATCTTGGGACATTTGCAAAGACACATGGTGGCTTGTCAGTCTGTGAAATAAGTCATTTTGCTCACTGTGTATGCATTCTTGAGTCAACTACTGCCACATAATCAATCGCATGTTCCTTTTTAGCCCCTGCTTCTCTCAAGAGCCCTAGTGGCACTGCATGCATGCCCAGAACACCATTCGCACTCATAGCCAAACGGAACAAAGCATCCTCTATTTGTCATGGGGCTGTTTGCTCAAAGCCACACCCCTAACAACAGAACTTGCACTTCCTCCTTGTGCTCTCAGAATGATTCTAATTCCTACATTTAATAAAGGGCAGGATTTCAAGCCTGGAGGAGTGGTGCCAGTCTTTAATCCCAGCAATTAGGAGATGAAGGCATGTGGATTTCTGTGAGTTTGAGACCAACTTGGTCTACATGGTAAGTTACAGGACAGCCAGAGCTACATAGTAAGACCCTGTTTAAACTCTTGCCCCTGAAATAAAATAAAATAAATGGCAGGATTTCACTAATGATGATCCCAGTTTGCAGTGGGGAATGTCATACATTTGTCAAGTAGCTCTATAAAATAAGGGAGAAAGTCTCTGATGTCTCCACTAGTAGTTGTCATTGCAGCCCATTCTCTAGGAACATTGCTATTTGTCAAGTAGCTCTATAAAATAAGGGAGAAAGTCTCTAATGTCTCCACTAGTAGTTGTCATTGCAGCCCATTCTCTAGGAACATTGCTTTCTTTGACAAAGCCCTAAAACTTTGAGGTTTCGATCATTCCAAAAAAAGGAACTGCCAGATTAAGTGAACACAGACGTCATTCAGAGGTCCTGAAATGTTTGCCCGCACCTGTCTCTGTATAATCGGTCTGAGCCAGCAGCCCCTGACTAGGTGTGACACAGACACAGGCCCTCATCCCTTCCCCAAAGTGCCTCACCTAATCATGATAGTCTCTCTGTCTCTCCTAAAGGCTTGTTCTTGTCTTAGCACATTCATGGTCTACTTTTGTTTGATGACCCCTGTAATGTCACTTGCTTGAAATCAGTGACTCATTCAGACACTTCTTTTCTATGGAGTGTCTTGAGCTTTCTGGTGGCAATAGTTTCCACCCAAGACCTCAGTATATAACCAAGGGGCAGTCATGGTGAAGGAAGTAACAATGGAGAAAGGAGAAGCTCAGAATACCCTGTGGGGGACTGTCCCCTTCCCAGGCCCTACTGGTCCGAAGCCCTTCAAGTACATCTTGGGAGTCATTTGTGTTGGGCTTCCTTCATGATTTCTCCACTTATTGGAGAAGAAAGTTAATCAAGGACTCTACTGAATGGGTACATTTTTTAACACAAGGAACACACACACATCTATATCTATCTATCTATCTATCTATATCTATAATTCTCTTTCTATATAAAATCATTGGATATCTCTGCAAGTATGTGAGAACTTCCTCCTTCCTAGAAAAGCTCAACATCCGCGTTTTTTTCCCTTCCCAGAAAACAAAGCCTTATGTTTTATAGCACAAAAATCAGTTCCTGGTTGGGCAATTATCTCTGGATTACTTGGCTTATGTGTAAATTCCTGACCACATGGGCCAGGTACAGTTTCTTAGCTTAGTAATCCTTCTGTGCTTAGTATGTCACAGTCCTTCAGTAAAGTGTATGTCAACTATCAATGAAAAATGAATGACTAGATGATTGGATACATGAACAAAATGGATCTTGAGTTCCTGAAACATGTGAGAGCTATAGTTACCATCTTGGAAGATTTTTCGAGTCTCCTGTAAGTCTGGGTAGGCCTTCAGATGCGTTGGGCTAAAGATCACTTCCAGAAGCGGCAGGCTAAAGTCCTTCTGCAGGTCACAGAGGATGTCATACACCACATTTCTCACTGCATCCAGGTTCTTGCATTGTTTTTTAGAAATCTTAAAAATATTGAATGAAGAATTATGTCACAATGGATTTATGGGTTATAAGAGAGGCTTAGACCAGTTCAAGCACCATTTGATTGCTTGTGAAGTGTCTGAGTTTTGCACATATCGGGTGACATCTTGCATGTCCTCTCCATAATGACAGACCCATGCTTATCCGAGAGCATCTCTGATGCTGACACACAGTTGACAGGAAAGAGTATTCTAAAGAATAATCTAATGATGTGTCTGTAAGAGCCAGGCCAAGATGCTCTACAGTGGCCCTAACAGGCCATGAGAGGCTGTCTGGGGACCAGACAGTAACTCCTCAGAGACTGACATGGTCATCAGGGCTCAAGGCAACCAAGTGAGCATCCTGGCCACAGGGCAAAGACAATGCACAAAGAAGAGAAGGCTTGTCTTCATTATCCCCAGGGGACCCCATCACCCACCTTTACTACATTCTAGGGTCTCAGTGGTGCCTGAGGAACAAGGAACATTTAGGAGAGAAGCAAGCATGACTTCCAGTTCTAGCCTCACGTGACCCAACTGCCTGTGGCTTTCTGTTTTTCCTTCCTTCCTTCCTTCCTTCTTTCCTTCCTTTCTTTCTTTTTGTGTTTTGAGATAGAGTTTCTCTGCATAGCCCTGGCTGTCCTGGAATTCACTCTGTGGACCAGTCTGATCTCAAACTCACAGAGATCAGCCTGCCTCTGCCTCCCTTAGTGCTGGGATTGAAGGCCTGCTCCACACTGCTCGGCTTCCTTTGACTTTCAAAACCCTCAGGCTCTGGGATTTGGAATAAGAAGGCTTTGTCAGGAAGTCCTGCTTGGACGTGTCCACTCTCATTCTAGCTTCTGATATTGCACTGCACAAGTTAACCTGGGGTGCTCCGCCCTTTAGATCTTTCCCCTCCCTATCCACCCTCTGTCACCATGAACCTCTCAGCCTTGGTTCCAGCAGCGATGGATGCGAACATTCCCTGTGATGCCCGCTTCTCCTGTCACCTCTGACTTCCAAGAAGGGAAGGTCCCTCCTCCCTGGAGGCCCTTCAGCCTGTTGGCTGCATCCAGAGGTTCAGTGTAATACAGCATGGGGCAGGCTTACTCTCAGGGCTGAGGTCATTCTCCTCACTCACCTGGAACTTCTGCTCAGAGAGGAATCCACGGTCTCGAAGACTCATAAGGAAAGGAAATGGCTTTGTGATGGCGCTTGCGATTTCCACCTTATTTTCTTTGAAGAGCTTGAACTTGGGCCTATAGTCATCTGACCCCTCTTCCCTCTCATCCTCAGTGGTTGACCTAAGGGATAGATTCCATGTAGAAGCATAAACTAGCTTACAAGAGGCTACCAATGGCTGGATAATTGCTGGCACGAGGGATGGTCTATGTAGAGCCAGTGTGTGTAAAGTAAGTGTGTTCCTGGGGAGACAGAAATAGAATTTTTATTTATGGGATTTTTGAGGGTGTAATAGGAGAGACCAGGGATCTTGGCAGAGCACTGAACGTGTTGAATGGGTTCACCTGTTCTAACCAACCACCCAATCTCTAAAACAAAACCACTCAATTAACTGTGCGAGCACTCTGCTGATTTCTTTCCAGCTTCCATAATTGTGTGCTGTAGTGATATCTTGTTCTTACTCTAACAAATAAAACTCGACTGAAGATCAGAGGGCAGAGCCAGTCACTAGTTGACCATAGAGGTCTGGAAGTCTGTACAGACACACAGGAAGTGATATGGCTGTGTGGAGACAGGAATATAAGGAAGCAGAGACAGTAGCTCAGCCTCTTTTGGCCTGAGGATTTCGTTGAGGTAAGAACTCTAGGGGCTGGCTGCTCTGCTTTTCTGATCTTTCAGCTTTCACTCTCTATTATCTGACTCTGGGTTTTTATTTTTATTTTTTTTTAAGATTTTATTTATTTATTATGTATTCAGTGTTCTGCCTACATGCCAGCAGAGGGCACCAGATCTCATTCGAGGTGGTTGTAAGCCACCATGTGGTTGCCAGGAATTGAACTCAGGACCTCTGGAAGAACAGTCCTTGCTCTTAACTGCTGAGCCATCTCTCCAGCCCTGGGTTTTTATTATTAAGGCCAATTAGAATTTTTTTTTTTTTTTTTTTTTTTTTTTTTTTGTTTTTTTCTGGCGCCTATCCTGGCACTCCCTCTGGAGACCAGGCTGGCCTCGAACTCACAGAGATCTGCCTGCTTCTGCCTCCTGAGTGCTGGAATTAAAGGCATGCGCCACCAACGACCAGATAAAACCAATTAGAATTTGTCTTACATCTGGCATCCAACTTTTGGGGCACGAATTCATGAAAACGCCGCTTGACTGTGGCTTTGTAGCCACCTGCACAGGCTGCACAGGGCTCCTGCCTTGCTGGTTAGGTTCTTCTCTCTATTTTTCCTTAAGCCTGTAAGTGAGTTTGGGATTTTTTTTCTGTTGCAGCCTCTCTGCAGCAAACTCCATAGGCATTTGTGCATCAAACGCCGCTGGAGGAGTTAGCTGCTTTGTCAAGTTCCCCCGCAGATGGCTGGCTCCTGGCTTCTTTTGTCCCAGTGGGTTGTGGGCTTTCCCTGGACCCCCTCCTCTGGCTGCCGCCAAACTAGGTAGCTGCTTTGACACCTGCTCAGGCTTCTACTGTTCTACATAGTATTAGTAAGTTTCACATTTCCAGTCATCTGAATCCTCATCATGGGTAGATTTGGTGAGACAAGTAGGGATTTGTAAAATAGAGTTTTTTCCCCACATTAAAAAATGGGAAGCACTATTACAATGGAGGGAGTTAAGTCTCTCTATGATAATACACTGGAGAGTTTGAAAATGGAACAATGAAGTGAGAGAGTAACTAATTTGGATGGGATTTACATAATGTCAATTATAAACATCAGTTTTACCATTTTTGTTTTATCGATAAAAAAGATGGTTAATATGAGTGCTAAGATTCAAGTTTTAGAAAAACTTATTAAAACAGATCATAGAGATATTCAGACCCAGACAGAGAATTTAAAGGATAACCAATCTCAGGGTTGCATTATAAGGGTTGACAGGAACAGCCTAAGGTTTTCAAACAACCAACTTTAATTTATTCAGTCACCTTATAGGAACAACTGCCAAATGATAGCTATCCCAAGGCTGTGCAAGAACTGAATGGACTCCTTTGGAAATGTTCGATTTAAGGAGATTCAAGGAAGTGATAGTCTCATATGGCATGCATTCGCCTTTTGTGAAGCAGATGTTAAACTCATGACCAACTTGTAATAGAATTATCCCTCAAGACTAGAGAGACTTGGTTACAGTAGTCTTGGAGCCTGGTCCTCAATTACAATGGAGGACCTGGTGGAAAGATGAGGCTAAGACCATTGAGCAATGAAGTATGGCTAGAGGTATGGAAATCTCCTAAGACCAACTCCTGCAGGGGGAGATTATGCTGATGTACAAAGGCAGTCTCTATATGATAACCACATTCTGGCTTTATGCCACACAGCAGCTTTGAGTGCATAGGACAGAATTGAAGAAGTAGGAAAGAAAATTGAATCATTTACTAAAGTTATACACAAGAAACCTTCATGAACTTCTTACAAAGATTGACTTCAGCAGTAAATAGAATAATACCAAATTCAGAAGCTAGGCAAATCATAATTGAATCTCTGGCTTTTGAAAATGCAGTGCAAAAAAAAAAAAAAACATAATTAGGCCATTAAAGGCAAGATCAGAACCCTTGGAAGAATGGATCTGAGTACAATCAATATTGAATCTCATGACCATGATGATACTTGGATAGGAGAGGTGATTTCCAAAGGTGAAGAAAAATTATCAAGTCAAGTGTTTCAATTGTGCTAAGCAAGGTCATTTGAAAAGGGATTGTAAACAGGTATTCCTAGAAACAAAGTTTTTTCTAAGCATAATCCAAACAGAACACCCCTCTCTTCTGGATTATGCAGAAGGTGTGGCAATGGGCTAATGAATGTAGATCAACAAGAGACAGTCAAGGTAACCCTTTGCTATTAGAAAACACTTTGAGGGACCTCTTGCATGCAGGCCTCCATGCTAAATTCAGTTCAGTTGTTTCCTGTTATTGTGGAGGAAACAACTTCCTAGAGCAATGCCTATTATAAAACAAACAAACAAAACAAAAGACATACTGCTAGCCAAGCAGTGGTTGTACACACCTTTAATCCCAGCACTTAGGAGGCAGAGACAGGTGGATCTCTGTGAGTTTGAGGCCAGCCTGGTCTACTGAATGAGTTCCAGGACAGCCTCCAAAGCTACAGAGAAACCCTGTCTCAGAAAACCAACCCCCCCAATAAAACTGAACAAAACTGAAAATTCCCAATATTGGGAATTCCCAATTCCCAATCACCCAATTCTGGATGAGAGAAAAGTTACAGAAGAGAGAACAAAATTTCAGGAGAAACCATAAAGCAAATATTTTGGAAAACTTCCATACATAAAGAAGGACCAAAGCTAAAACCACGAATAAATGGTATTGTCATTGAAGGTCTTGTAGACACAGGTGCAGTTGTCACAATAATTGCACTAGACTCTTGGCATTCAAATTGGGCTCTTCAGGATGTAAATGTTCAGCTTTTAGGGATTTGAAAGTTAGCTCAGGTAAGACAGAGCACAAGATGGGCCAAATGTATAGGTCCAGAAGGACCTAGAAGAAAATTAAGGCCATATGTGGCTAACATAGCAATGAACTTATGGGGGTGTGGTTTGTTATAGCAATGGAATGCTCAGATTAATATCTCAGAAACAGACCATAGTTTAACGAATGTTTCTGGGAAAAATATTAGAAGGTTGTACAAGAACAGGGCAAACAGCTGCTGATCTTTCAAAGGCACCAAGAGCCCTACCTTTAAAATGGTTGACAGACAAACCTGTATGGGTTGAGCAATGGCTTTTAACAACAGAGAAACTGCAGGCCTTAGAATAACTGGTACAGGAGCAGTTCATATTGAAGAATCAACCAGCCCTTGGAATTCTCCTGCATTTGTTATTAAAAAGAAATCTGGAAAATGGAGAACAGTAACAGATCTAAGAGATATTAATAAGGTGATTCAGCCAATGGACTCTCTGCAGTCTGGAATTCCTTTGTCTTCTCTATTACCTAAAGGATGCCCTCTTATAGTTTTTGATTTAAAAGATTTTTTTTTCTTTACTATACCTTTACAAGAAAAAGACACAGCAAAACCTGCCTTCATGGTGCCTACTTATAATGATTCTCAGCCTGTTAAGAGATATCAATGGAAGAGTCTCCAACAGGGAATGCTAAGTAGCCCCACCTGTGCCAATATTTTGTACAACAGCCATTGGAAATAGTACATAAGCAGCTTTCTCAATCTATAGTTTACTATTATATGGATGACATCTTACTAGCTGATTCAAATGTAGATACTTTAAAAAGAATGTTTGAAGAAGTGAAGAAAATTTTGCCTTGTTGGGGATTACAAATTGCTCCTGAAAAAATACAAAAAGGAGATTTTAGGATATAAAATAAGGATATAAAATAAGTCTCAAAAAATTAGACCCCCAAAGGTGCAAATTAGGAGAGATCAATTACAGACTCCTAATGACTTTCAAAGATTATTAGGAGATGAGCCGGGCGTTGGTGGCACATGCCTTTAATCCCAGTGCTCGGGAGGCAGAGGCAGGTGGATCTCTGTGAGTTCGAGGCCAGCCTGGTCTCCAGAGAGAGTGCCAGGATAGGCTCCAAAGCTACACAGAGAAACCCTGTCTCGCAAAATAAACAAACAAACAAAAAAGCAAAAAACAAAACAAAAAAAAAAAACCAAACCACTATGTCAATAGCAAAGGTTTTGAAAAAAGATTTTTTCCATTACTTGGCAACAAGCCAAGGAATGTCTTTCTTGTTCTTTATACATCCAAACTCTACCACCAGCAGGAAGTAACTCAAAGGAAGAAAATCTGGCAGATTGACGTGCTTCATTATATAGAATTTGGAAATTAAAATATGTACACCACAGCATTGATACCTATTCAGGATTTCAATGGACAACTGCTTTGAGTTCTGAAAAGGCTGATTTGGTAATTACACATTTGCTAGAAATTATGGCCATCATGGGTATACCTGTACAAATTAAGACTGACAGTGCTCCAGCATATGTCTCTAGTAAAATGAAACAGTATTTTTGCTTATTACATATAAAGCATATTACAGGTATACCACACAATCCTACAGGACAGGCAGTTATAGGCGGATCAAATTGAACTCTAAAGGATATGCTAAATAAACAGGAAAGGGCAATAAAGATCACAGAAATAGATTGAATAATGATTTGTTAACTTTGAATTTTCTAAATGCTAATGACAGAGGAATGACAGCTGTAGAGAGACATTGGATGATAGAAAAAAACAAAACAAAACAAAACTACAGAACTAAATCAGCCTGTATATGTAGGATTAAGGTCTCTTTATTCCAGAAGACACCAAGGTAAAACACAGGCCAGAGCTAGGTTATAGAACCCAGCCAGCTCGGCCAGAACAAAAAGGGGCCAGGGTCCCCATGTGCAGCCCCTTAAGAAGCTCCCTTACGTCACCCCGGCTTTCCTTCACCATGCCCTTATGGGCGAGTCCCGGGTCCACCTGCTACCTGTCCCAGGACTATTGGGCGGGGCTAGGGTGTCTCCCTACATGTATACTTTAAAATGTGCTGACCTCAGAATGGAAACCCGGATATGTGTTAAGCTGGAGAAGGGGTTTTGCTTTTGTTTCCACAGGAGAAAAAAAAAACAAAAAAACCTATGTATACCATCAAAATTGATAATGATTAGATTTGAATAAGAGAGACCTCTCAATTAGAAGAGCTGACAGCTCATCAAACAGCAAGGCTGTTCAGTCTAAACTAATGCTTTTCATTTGATCAGACATAACTTGCCAACAGGGAACCTCCCAAAAATTAGGGTTGGGGAAAGACTTCATTTTTTGTATTTTCTGGACAACAAAGGTACTCAGCTAAGGAATCTGAAGACCAGTAGACAAATGAGACATGAAGGAAAGGGACGAATCATCCAAAAAAAAAAAGTTCCAAGAAAAAAGAGTACATTGGCCTATTGATACATCACATCTCCAACAGGATAACCCTTCATAAACCTTCCCAAATGTTTGTTTCTGCTTTTCTCTACAAACATATAATGCAAATGGTCTTTTGTGGTCCCAGTCCAATTAAAAATTAAAGCTGCTTTTGGAGTTGGAGTGTGGCTCTCTGCTTCTCTAAACCCAAGCATGCTTGTTAAAGTAAAATCCAAAATCTCTGTCTCATGTCAGAAAAGTCACCTGATATGGGACAGAAGAAAAACAAAAAGCTACACACGAAGTAGTTTTTGAAAATGAGATATTATGTATTCTAACAATGAAAGGCAAGGCCAGGCGTTGGTGGCATACACCTTCAATCCCAGCACAGGCAGAATCTGTGAGTTCGAGGACAGCCTGGCCCACAGATCAAGTTCCAGGACAGGTTTCAAAGCAATACAGAGAAACCCTGTCTCAACAAACAAACAAAACAAAACAAAATGACAAAGACATCTCAGAAGGCTTAAGGAAATACGTTTCATTTGTAACCACTGGTGAAGGAGTTGGCATTCAGTGGCACAAAACGGCTTCAAAGCCCCTTTGCTGGTAAAGAGTTGCATTAGAGATATTCATAAAATATCTAACACAGTGACCTGGGCAAAAGAATAGCAGTTTCTTTTCAAGCAAAATATAAGTGAAGCCTGGCTGTGGTGGCGCACGCCTTTAATACCAGCACTTGGGAGGCAGAGGCAGGGGAAACTCTGTGAGTTCCAGGACAGCCTGGTCTACAGAGTGAGTTCTAGGATGGCTAGAGTTACACAGATAAACCCTGTCTCAAAACACCAAAGGGGTGTGGGAAGAAGGAAAACATTAAGTGACTCACTCAGAGTTTACACCTTCAGGCTTTTGGGATTTCCCTCAGGGAATCTGCAAGTCCATCTCATTATATGCCCCACCCCCAGCAATGAAAATAATTTTGGACTTTAATTTTCTAAAAATAGATTTTTTTGCAGTGCTTTTGTTCATTTTTTAATTATTTTTTTTTTACATTCCAATTCCAGTTCCCCCTCCCTCCTTTTCTCCCAAACCCTCCACTCCCCTCCTCCCCCTCCCATCTGCTCCATGGAGAGGGTAAGGCCTCCCATAGGAAGTCTACTAAGTCTATCTCATCATCCAGTTGAGGCAGGGCCAAGGCACCTCTCCACCACCCCCTCACCCCTGTGTCTAGGCTGGGCAAGGTATCTCTCTATATAGAATGGGCTCCACTAAGTCAGTTTGTGCATTAGTGGTGTTAGGTTTTGGACCCACTGCCAGTGACCGCATATATTGTCCCAGTCACACCATTGTCACCTATATTAAGGGAGCCTAGTTGAGTCTTATGCAGGTTTCCCCGTTTGCCAGACCTGAGTCAGTGATCTCTCACTAGCTCAGTCAGCTGATTTGTGGGTTTCCCCCGGCATGATCTTGACTCCTTTGTTCATATTATGGCTCCTCCCTCACTTCGACTGTACTCCAGGAGCTTGGCCCATTGGTTAGTTATGGATTTCTTTAGCAGTTTTTTAGAGTGGGGATTAGGGAGACCTGTGAGAGGAAGGATCAGAGGCCACTCCAGCAGGGGCTCCCAAGGACAAGGAAGTCCACACAGTGTCAGCCCAGCTATGTGACAGAAGCAAGGGAATGAAGTGAGGTGAATTGGGGTGACCACAGGACTCCAACAGCTAGCCTATGGCAGTGAAAACAGCACGTGAGTCAGTGATCTCTCACTAGCTCAGTCAGCTGATTCTGTGGGTTTCCCCGGCATGATCTTGACTCCTTTGTTCCTATTCTGCCTCCTCCCCCACCTTCACTGTCCTCCCATTGGTTAGTTATGGATTTCTTTAGCAGTTTTTTAGAGTGGGGATTAGGGAGACCTGTGAGAGGAAGGATCAGAGGCCACTCCAGCAGGGGCTCCCAAGGACAAGGAAGTCCACACAGTGTCAGCCCAGCTATGTGACAGAAGCAAGGGAATGAAGTGAGGTGAGTTGGGGTGACCACAGGACTCCAACAGCTAGCCTATGGCAGTGAAAACAGCTTATCCAGGTTCTTAATTCCTTGTGATCTCATTGTCTCAAGTACCCATGGTCCCATGGCCTCAGCCTGGGAGGTTTTAGTGACACATGTAAACATCGATTTTAGCAGCTTAGCAGAGACACGGACAAGGAGAGGGGAAAGTACTTACCAGCTGCTCGATCTACTGTCCTCTTCTGCCATCCTCTGCACAGCCCCGAGGGTGCCCTGAACTTAGCTCAAAGCAGAGTGCACCACCTCTGGGAAGCTCAGAGAGAACTCCTTGAGGGCCCTCCAAACACAGGGAAACAGAAAGTGAAATCGCTCAGCGGCTGCATCCACACCCTATTCGGTTCCCCCTCCCCTCATATCGTGTGCATGCCCCCTCCCCCCCTCCTGCCTCCACCCAGTCTCTGCCCCAGAGGAGAGGAGCAAAGGCAGCCCAAGTCCCTAGAAACCTGGGAACCCTGATTCACTCCAAGGAAAGGTGGAAGAGTCGGTTTCAGTCAAGGGCTCAGAGTCCTCTGAGGAGAATTGGCTGCCGAGTATGGGAAGGAAGTGGCTGGGGTGGTGCCTGGAAGGACAAAGGGAGAGTAGGCTGTCCCCTGTCTCTCAGACTTGTGGCTGTCCCGGAACCCTAATGAGCCAGAGCTTGAGGAGTTGGACCTGAGAGTTGAGGCCCAGACTAAGAAAAGTCGGAAGGTGTGGCCTCCTGAAGTGCTTGGAGCTTCTGAATATAACCAGATGCAAGAAAAAACTCTCCTCTGCCTCCTCCAACCAAGGGCAAGTGCAGAGAATCCAGGCAGAACAGGTTGAACAAGTGTGTCCTTCACAGCTAGGCAACAAAAGGACTTCAGCGATTTCACCGAGGTCCCAAGAACAGACTTCTCTAAAAGAAAAATTTTTTTGAGAATTTCATACATATCATTTCGACCCCACCCTCTCTCACCTCTATCTCTTGTATTCCCTGTTTTCCCTCTCAAATCCAGGACCCTTTCTAATTATTGTTTTGCACACACACATACACACACACACACACACACACACACACACACACAGTCTTCCGAGTCCCCTTAGTGTTGCTTAGACGGACCTCTTAGTTTTCGAGAGCGTGTGAGGGGGCTCGGCTCTGGAGAAGACTGATCCTCCCTCCCTCTTCCCTCTTCTAGCAGCCCTTAACTGCTATAGTTCTCCATCTAGGGGTGGAGCCTGGTGAGATAACCCACTCCAATCCACACTGACCTGACAACTGGGATTGTCAATATATAGGTCTTGTTTAGGAGACCATGTTGTTGAGATCTCATCGGTAGCTTCCCTGTCATAATTAGAAGACACAGCAGAAGTCCTGGAGTCCTGGTCCTCTGACTCTTACAATCCTTCCACCCCTTCTTTGGCGATGTCCTCTGAGCGTTTGGTGTAGGGGTCGTGCTGTGAATGTATACACAGGGGCTGGGCACCCCCAGGTCAGTTAGAACAGCAGTCTTCTGTAGGATGGGGAGAAATTTGGAGCTGAGATTATTTGTCAAAGACAATATACAGAGGACAAGTACACTTATTATATACCACTTCTTCACTTACACCCTCGTTCTATAAACTAGACAACTAGCATGAAGTTAAAAGGTAAAGAAACAGGAGCAAAGCAAATAAAGGAAATAGAGTCAGAAGGATGGGAAACACAGGCAGAGCATGGAGTCAAAGACAGGGTGAATGAGATCCAGGGTGTGGGCACAGTTCCAGTCTCAGACGGAGCAGCGATGTTTTTGTGGAACATGGACTGTGAATCCCAGCGCCTCCACTCATCACAGGTGCACTATAGGCTAAGTGCAAACAGAGAGAGCAGAGACTTCTGTCCCTTTGGCCCCTTCTGACTTCTCCAAGGAGGAAACCTCATGTGAATTAGGCAGATTCCAGGACTCCAGTGAGGACACAAGGCCATCTCCAGTGACCTACAGTGTGCCTACATGGTGGGTGCTGCAGACATACAGACCCTCTCTCCTGTTCTTACTCTCTCCTTCCCTCACCTTCCTTCCCTGAAGATTTTGCTAGGAGGAGGGCTGCCTCTCTTGGCACCAGGGTCCTCTGCTCATGGCCTTTGTGGGTCCCGGTGGCACACGCAAACCTGACATAGACACTATTCAGCCTGCCCTAGTGTGCTTCCTCTTTGCCTCTGGGCAGCAGGCAGGTCAGAGCCTCTGCAGAGCTGCCTTCCCTGAGCTGCCGGCTTCTTCGACTCACAAGCATAAGGCCTTTGATGTTCTGCGGCTGACCCACAGTGAGAGTGGGGCTTGAGAGATGTTCCTGCTCCTTTCGAGCAAACCCTGCTTTGTCACTGTGTTCTGACCCAGAGATCCACAGCTGGGAATTTTGCAGCTCCTGTCTCCCACTGTTCTGTGCTCAGCACAGCAGCAATCTGGGATAAACAAGAGGACTTTCTGTAAAGAATAGGGCAGTTTTCAAGGGGCATAGGAAATGGCCTATAGCTCTCCTGTGACAGTGATTATATTTAGTAAAATTCATCAACTGATCCCTTTAGATGAATGCATTTTATGTATCTATAAAACTGTGCTAAAATACATAATTTTAATAGGCTCTTATATAGATCACTTGCATGTGAATTACCAGGTGAGGTTTTACCATTATTACTGTATGCTTGAGTATGTATGGCTTAGAATAAACATCTTCAACTTTACTCACACATGCCTGGTGTAATAATTTTTACTGCTTTAAATTTTTTTTTGGGGGGGGATATGGTATTTCCTGGCATAGTTCTGTAAAGGCCTAAAGGAAGTCCTTGCTGCCATAGTCCTAAGATGATCACTCACACATGCCTGGTGTAATAATTTTTACTGCTTTAAAATTTTTTGGGGGGGGGGGATATGGTATTTCCTGGCATAGTTCTGTAAAGGCCTAAAGGAAGTCCTTGCTGCCATAGTCCTAAGATGATCAGGAAGTGTGGGCCAGATTGATTGGAGGGGATTCAGATAATAAAGTGTGACATTTTCACAAAGTAGTCCCCTCCCCATTAGCATGGTGTCCTCTCTTTCTCTCTCTGTCTCTCTGTCTCTCTCTGTCTCTCTGTCTCTGTCTCTGTCTCTGTCTCTCTCTCTCTCTCTCTCTCTC